CCACTGAACCCAGAAGGGGCCGGCGAGCGCCATGACCAAGGAGACGCGCATGCATGTCGGCCCTGAAACTGGACCGACCTTGGCCTGAACCGGACTTAATCCCTGGATCTTAACCGGATTCCCCGGATTGGCTCTGGCTTAGCGGCTGGGACCATGAATTTGGCCTGGCCATCCCAGACCATCCGACGGAGTCTACCGGACAGAACTTGGCGCGAGCTAAGTTCCCCGGCACGGAAAGGATCCAGCGCCCAGAAGGTGGCTACGGCCCGCATAGAAGTTGTGGTAAGCCGCGGATCAGTCATGGCCCGCATAGAAGTTGCGACAAGCCATGGCCAAGTCCTGGCCCATAGAAATTGGACCAGGCCCGCAATGTGTCTAACGGACCATATGCGGCTCACGAGTCAGATTGCCATACTACGCAACTGGGACCAGTGAGTTAACGGGTGCCACATAGAAGTTGTGGTACGCCCATTTTTGCATGCACTGCCTGGAGACAGAGGCAGAGGCCCAGAGGCTAAATGAAGACCCTCCTAGTCAGCTGACCGGATACTCCGTGGTAAACACCTATCGACGCCCACAACTTAATTTTTGGAGTTTGGCCAGGCCAACCTGATGTTTTCGTCAGAAGCCACTTAATTTTGTTATGGCCACGGTCTCGGGGAAACCTATCTGACATGGTAGTTAACTCATGGCCCACGGCCAGTGAGACGGACCAGATTCAACGAATCTTTAACTTTGACCCGCCAATTACCTTGGCGCGCCATTTTGGCCCGCCAACCACCGTGGACCGTCGAAAAACGACTAAGTCCACACCGGAGCGCCAAAGCAACAGCCCCACTCCCGCAACTGCCAGAGGCAAGGCCCCATCATCCTGGAGCCCCATATCCCGCCCAAGGCATGTCAGAGACCGAGTTTGGACCGCCCCAACGGGTTTGGTCCATCACACCATTTCGGTCCTTGGACTTAGAAAATTCTCCAATATGGCCCTCTTGGACTTGGAAGATTTTTGGCCCGAGATGCATGACCCAACCGGGGTGCACTCGAACTTTAAGATTTTTGGCCCGAGGCGCATGACCAAACCGGCATGCAGGGCCAAACCGGACCAAAGCGGACCACCCTAACGAGACTGGTCCATCGCACCAATTTGGATAGCAGGAGCACCCCTCCTGCCCAGAGGGATCATTCAAAGCCATTATGGACCGCCCAAACCGGGTCTGGTCCATTTCACTACAGGAGTGCCACTCCTGCTCAGAGGCCTTACCTATGGACCTCTTACGGACCACCCAACCGGAACTGGTCCATCATACCAGGAAGGGGACAAACTGTCCTTGCGAAAGCAACGGTGCCTTCCATACTCCGCACAGCTGAATTACTTCACTAGACACTGTGGACATCTCTGGGAACCATCGCCCCAGATCCACAAGACCAATCCAATCCTAACGGATTATGCGGACCGTTGACTAAGACCCGTGTGTGCAGAATCTGCCCTGTGGACAAGCCTAGTCGGAATGAGTATTTTTGTCTAGTTCTTTAACCAAACCTGGTTTTCCTAGACTTATTAACAAAAGAAATTGTTGTTCTCATTTAGCCTTCTAACCAAAGGAATTGGCTTTGGGATCTCTTCCTTATGATCTTACTTTCTTTAATTCTCAGTCGGAATTGTGATCTTTTTATTTCGATGTTTAACCATAATGAGCCTTACAAACTTTATTTTTTTACTTCATCGACCGAAGAAGCCTCATTAACACCACACTGGAACCTCCAGCACACAAAGTGGTTTCCAGATTTCGGCCGTTCGGTGCATGCACCGCGGGTGTAGAGACAGCGGCCCCACCGGGCAAGAGACAAAGTGGCATCCGGCCCTACCGGGTATCGGATCCTGGCACCCTACCGGGTTGGCCAGGGGCAGAGTCGGAAGGTGCTCGCAGGAGCTCCCACTCCCGCCCAGAGGCATGTCAGAGACCGCTCACTCGAGGCGGTAGACACCTCTTCTGGCTTCTCTGTCGCCCGCATATGGCCGCCATTCGTGCCGCTCATATACGCTGATAACGTCAGCGTATACTTTGTCTACGCTGACCAATCAGCGTTCGCTATGCACTTTTGGAGGTGTGGCCCAGCGCTTACGAGCGATGCCATGCTTTGCGGTACCAGCTGTGATTCAGCTGCAGCATTCCGGGGCATTACGTTGATTTTCACCGAGCTCGCTAGCTGCCGCTTTTTTCCACAGCTTCCGCATTGGTTTTCTGTTGGTTTTTGTTAGCTTTATTGTTATCACAATAAAGGAGAGATATTTGCTCCCATTTTCTCTCTGCTTCTGTGTCATATCTGACACCAACAACTGTGCCTGGCGAAAAGGTGGACGGGAGGATGGTGGAAGTTAATGAAATGAAATCGCATCCACCTTTCTGCCAAAGATCGGCAGATTGGTGGATGAGCCATCCACCTTTATGCCGGAGCAATTCAACTTTTTTTTAAAAGTTATCCCCCTTTCTGCCGAGCCAACCCGTCGGCGTCGATTGATCTAACAATAACGCCGTTGAGTGCTTTCCGGCTTATTGTAAGATCGATGCATGCGTACGCTGCTTCGGCAGAAAGATTGATGCAGTCACTCAAAAGATTCTGTCACTCTGCCTGAATATGTTAGCCTACTCGTTTTCCATTTTTGTGAGGCTTCATATAATGCGTTCTTGCAAAATTAAGGGTTGGGCTTTACAAAGAAAGGTTGACGACCTTTACTGAAAGGTTGATGACCTTTACAGAAAGGTTGATGACCTTTACAGAATGGTTAAAATTCTTTAATGGAAGGTTTATGACTTTCGACAGAAAGGTGGACTACCATAACAATTCTCACTCAACCTATCAGTGGAATGACGTCACCATTAGAGTCTCCCTTGCTATGCAAAACGCGGTAGTGTTTATAATGCTGTAGTCTTAAAGCACGAAGGTTCGGAAAATTGTTAAACAAGTGCACAAGTGGCCCGAACACGGTAAACAAAATAAAGATATCTGCGCTTTTCGCCTTAAGTTTGGAGTGTTGCGCTTCGATGTGCCATTACCTAATTCGGTATAATATTATCTGTCCAGTAAGTGTAGCTGAGCATTCAGCAAAGGACAGTACCTGCAGTATGGCTTCGGCTTCTCTGAGCGCATACGGAAATGACGCAAAATGATTTCATATGGCCGCAATGTCTGCAAATGCCCGCCATGGCTCTTTTTTTAAATCAATTGTTACCGAGAAAGAATTGCTAAGAAAGAAAAAGTTAATGTTGAGAAAGCTTAGACAGACAAACAGTAAGCAGAAAGAAAAATATGTTCGGCAGCTAGGAGGATGAGCTTCGGCAAAAAGGTTTAAAAACCTTCTGCAGAAAGGCTGATGACCTTAAGAAAGGGTTGATCAGAATAATTGATGAACTTTTGAAAAGGTTGATCAGAAAGGTTGATGACCTTTAGAAAAAGGTTGTTGACCTTCATTGAGCGTCAACCATCAACCCGTCAACCTTCCTGCCGGCTACAGACGAGCACCAAGAACATTCGGTTATGTTGGAAAGAAGAAAGTGGCCTTTGCACCCAGACGAAGATCAAAAGAACGAGTCGAACAGAAAAGAACCTCCGATTGAAATATGACAACTCTTCGTGCAACTGGCAGTAGAAAGAGAAGTAACACTGAAAGCCGACATGAGAAGGGCGACGTCGGAAGAAAAAAATAACTTTGACTTAGCATAGCATGGCTCTCGGATCACTTTCGAACGCACTCTGCTACCAAGATAACAGTCAATCGAGTGAGGAAAGAGGTCTCGGAGCAGAAAGATGAAAAGGTCACAGGAGATGGTCAGTGAATGACAGACCAGAATGACCTTTTGAAGTAGAATTACTCGCTGAATACATGCCAGAGAAATGTCCTATTGGATTGCTGAGATTTCCGAAGACAATCGGAAAAGGTCGCAAACCTCTTCCAAGATGCAGAGTCATCACAAATAGGAACGAACTCAGCACTGCGACAGTTTGTATTGTCAATCTCCCAGGAGTTGAAGAAGAAGAGGAGGATGACTCAATCTTGCAACTGAGAAATAAGCAGCTGAAAGATCCATACTTAGCGATGATAATCGACGAATTGGAGCATCTGCAAGACGCAGCCAAAAGGCCAGAGTTCCTGACGCATTATCAGTTATGGAACGGCATACTGTATCGCGTCAAAGATAAGAACGAAAGACTCGAACGGACATGCGTCGTACCGCTGCCAATGAGAAGGGCTATCATTCATGCATTGCATGATGTAAAGGCAGCAGGAGCCCGTGTGCGGCGAAAACTCCACGGTACTGGAGGCCGGTGGATTATCGGCGATGCGAGCAACATCAACGTGGTCGCAAATTCAAAGTTCCTGGCGTCAAAGGTGCAGATAGCTATGATGTTGGGTGGAACATGGCGTTAGTTAGCGACAGCGAAAATTTCCGCGCGGCCAATGGGGAACAGCCAGACGCTGATTGTGCGTCAATCCGAAATGTGACCCAGACGAAAACTGAAAATCCTCAAGCACTGGACAGTTTAAGACTCGTAGTCAGAAAAAGCGAGATAAGAAATGGAAAAGGAAAACATCAATCGAAAATAACCAGGACATTATGAATTTATTTTTCGAATATTTGTGTGCTGTTTTCTGGATTTGATTTATTTTTCGAATATTGCATTTCTAAGTTAGTGCGTTTCACACACTAGGGAAGGTATTAATGGCGTGACGTAGCAACCAACCATGCAGTTACCACTAAGAGTGTTCGCTGTACGAGTTATTCTGAGTTGAGCGGCTCTACAATAAAGGTGAACACGTGAAAGTTGTGCGCTCGTTAGCGAAATGGTCTTGCTGGCGGGTTATACACTTTCGCCGGCTTCGAAAGCGGCGTCTAGTCTCCGCAGCAGGTTGCACCGTACTTATTCCACTGGTTTTTGGCTTGTCGTCGCTGCTAGAAAGCTAAAACGATTACATCGTACGTTTAACTTTTGTGAGTACATTGAGTGCTTGCGTCGATTTCTTGAAGTCATATTGCTAGGTCCTCGCAGTTCATCGTAAAACTGGTGATATTCTGCTTTCAGCGCATAATTGGCTTTACACCTGATAATTTGGCAAACATTTCTTCCGAATAGGCTGAAGGACTCCCAGTGAGGCTGGTTGGCTTCCCCGTCCGGCTCATCCGTTATTTTTGCCCACATTACAAATCTGACGACAGAACAAGAAACCACCCAAAATTTCAATTTAATATTGGAAACAGAGGATATCTCACAATCGGAACTGATGGATACTAACGAATTTCTCACCGTGCTCGTAACTGGGGGAGCTGGCTACATAGGCAGCCACTGTGTTATTGAACTGCTGGATCACGGGTTTCAAGTTGTTATCGTGGACAATTGTAAGGCCATTCAATAGCAGACTGAAATGAACGGGAGTCACTGATTGAAAGCACGCTTTTGCTGGGATAGGCGAATATGCGGGCGATCAGCCAAAATGCCTGGACGAAATAAAGAAATTAACTGGGAAAGAATGCGCTTTCTACAACGTAGATATTAGAAATCATTCCCAGCTAGTTCCTGTTTTTGAGAACGTGAGTATCTGAGAACTTCTAGAAAGGTTATATATAGCGAAACTCCGATGTTTCACAACAGATTGCACTCCATGCAATTGAGAGAAACGCTTTTAGAAAAGTGTTTTTTTACGTTTTAATTGAAACATTTTAAACTTTTCCCATAGCATGTTTCAGTATGTAACTATGTAAGCTTTCTAGAAAAAAGCACGCACAATTCTGCATATAACATCATAACAATGAAACTTTCTCATTCAACTTTTGGTTTCGAATTTCTTATTTGTTGATCAATAGCTCGGTGTACTCTGTGGAGTTTTCTGGCCTCCGTCTGCACTGTAGAGTGTAGGCAGAGACCAGATAGGTCCGCGTCACACCAGTGTGTAGCCCAATCCTCTCTGCGTTCAGTCAAGTTGTGAAAGCACATACCGTATTTTTCGAATTTAACGCCTCCTCCAAATTTGAAACCTCCTCTATCGTATAAGCCTCCCCCAACTTTACTTCGAAAATTTAGTAGCCTCCTCCGCATTAGAGGCCTCCCTCGATATACAGTGTATAGCAATAACGCTGGTTTAAAGGCTTCGAAAATTTATAAGCCTCCCCTACAATATACGTAAGTCTCCTCTGCGGTATAAGCCTCACACCGAACACCTTTGAAAATTTAGAAGCCCGGGGCTTCTAATTCGAAAAATACGGTGTCTGGCATCGTTCTCCAGCCATTACCGTTTTCCCAAATCAGCTTTCTACTGCTAGGGGTTCCCCTTAGAGTGTTCATGTGTCGACTGCATGCCTCGCTTCCACACATCCGATATACGAGCCCAGAGATTTGGGTGGCCTCAAGCGCAGTAATCGATTGCAATAGTAATACACACATCAACAACCACAACTAATTACTATTTCCATAATTTCCACAGCGCGTCATCGTGTGTTCTGTTTAGAAACTTGTGAAACGCAAACGTTGGAAATTAGCACGACCGACATAATTCATTATGTGGCTCGCCTCCTGCGACTCGTGTGGCGTTCCGTTATTTCAACTGTACAGAAAAATTGATCCGTTATTAGAAAAGCAAAAGTATCTGTAGTAAGTGCAGCTTTCGATCGAGAGTGTAATGCCGAAATGAAAAGCTGCTCGCAACCTACTTTTCATTTTAGCATAACGTTTTTAAAGTTCCAAGTGTATCACATTCATAGTACCAACCCGTGCTTTTGCGTTGACCTCGAATCGTCGATGGATTTTAACTTTGCCAGTTATTCCGGTGGCATTTTATCTGGCACCGTGTTAAAATGCACCAAATTTCTGAGTACTCAATAAATTGACGGTTTTATTATTCAAACCAGCATTGCTTTTATTAAGTTTCTTTTGCAGCACAATATCTTCTGCATCATACACTGCGCTGCACTGAAGTCTGTTGCGCAATCCGTAATGGAGCCTCTATCCTACTATGATACCAACGTCTGCGGAACAGTGGCCCTGTTAAAGGTCTCCAATTCTCAGGCAAACTAGGTTAACAAGAATGTAACACCTCATGTTTTTCTACAGGTTGCGAGCTTGTTTAGCGTTAAACGAGTTATTTTCTCGAGCTCTTGTAGCGTTTACGGTTCGCCGGGAGCATTACCAGTTCTGGAAAGCAACCCGATAGGCGCAACTATAGAAAGTCCATACGGTAGAACGAAATATGTAGCGGAGATGGTTTTGAAGGACCTGCATGAATCAGATACGGTAAACTACTCGTATTTCAAAAGTGCATAAGTAACTATTGCTGACACAAAAGTGTATGATTATTTGAGTCAGAAATGGAACGTGGTTATACTTCGTTATTTCAATACCGTTGGTTGCCACCATTCCCGAAAAATTGGAGAGCAACCGAGAGGGAAACCACAAAACCTAATGCCTTTAATTGCGGAAGTAGCGTTGGGAAATGCGCCGTTCTTGAACGTTTATGGTGCGGATTATGGAACACCCGATGGAACAGGTATTTAACTATATGTCAAGCAGGCTTCCTGAACGCAAGCAATAAGTTAGCATTTCTTTTTAAAATTCATTATAGTGTGTTTTTTTAAAAAACACCCTATAGTGCAGAGCGTAGGCGATCGGTCAAGTCGTTGCTAGTCAACTTGGTCGGGGGACATTTAGTCGCGAGACATCCGGTAACACGGACAAATCGCGGTCAGACAGTTCGTCGGCAGGACAGTTGGATGGGCAATTATTTTTAGAAAAACTTCGTTTTCCGTTGAAAAACGCCTTTTTGTTTGACTTCAAAATAATTTTGTTAAGACCGGAGTGTAAGACTAAACATTCCCGCAAATTTTTATTTTTGAACCCTACTACTACCCTTTTTAATGAATTATCTCTATATATTAATAAAATAAGCCTTAGCGAATTCCACACAAAGCTCCCTTTTCTGAGCGACACACTTAACGAAACTTTGGTGTCTATATATCATTCGATAGCGCCAGGTTTGCAGATGGCGCGACAAGAATCACTTTTTGAGAAGAATGTAAAGTTTAAAAGAAAAGTTTAAGAAAAGCTAACATACAAAGTTAATGGGAAAAGTGAGGAACCCACCACTGTTAAATCGACCACCCCACCACTGTCTTGAGTCGACAGCTGAAACGCCGTTCTTCAAGCTCTTCTTCGAATGGGGTGCTTATGTAATGACATGTATCACCTTATAGCCGTGGTTTATATATTTTTTACCAGAATTTTTTGTTTGCAAGACAGTTAGAGCTGAAGAAGTAAGAAAGATCAGGCAAAGCAGTCCGCGAGTACGGAACAGCTGCAAACCCAGTTTTTCAAGGAGCTGTCCTCGGCAGTTATTCGAGCTTCTTTATTGTAGCGCCTCCAAGGGAGGCTGGGCGTGTCGTTATCACTTGCCTACCGTACAACCGCGTAAAATCCATACTACGGTAGTACGGTGGCATTGTAGTATGGATTTTACGCGGTTGTATTAAAATGTGGCGCTAAGTAGCGGAAGTGCGAATTATTCTTAAATGATTATTATTAATTAATTAATTAGTTAATTTAAATTATTATTCACGACGCTATTGTGAAACGACGCTATTGTAACAGAAGGCGAAGCCGCAGGTGACCCCGAGCTCCGGCGCTAGGGAGCTTGCGGAGCAGCAATACAGATAGGACTCATACGAGTACTGTAGAAGATAATAAGCGAGACACAATCAGACACTGCTTCGTGAGTGACTGGGATCTGCGCATTGTTACCGGACAAACTGAAATTTAAAATTTATGTTAATGACTTGATAAGTGTGGCTGCACTGGCTGGCCAAAATTCTAATACATAACAACGGGCAATATTTTACAATTCAAAGAATAGCAGACTGATAAAGAAAAAAACTCAAAGGAATTTCTATGAAAGAGCACATACTATATAAAGGGCAAGTTTTGAAGTTTATTACGGTTTTCTCTGCAGTACACCGAACGGGAAAATGTTAACACAGAAAGATCAATATAGAATCTTCGGTGAAACAGTGAACCCAGCTAAGACTACGAATACAGTAGCAGCACCTTATTTTAAATTATGCGAAATTTTAAATTTGTAAATTTCTAAGCATGAATGAATCCAACGAAGCGTAGAAGCGAAGAATGAATCCAACGAAGCGAGTATCTAAATTTGACAACGTACGTATCTTAGATGTCATGAACAACGATGAGCTTATATAATTTTCTGCATTTTAATCTATCACTGATTTATTCCGCGCAGTTTGCGCGGGGTCTACTATATACCCTATTACACAGATTCGATGGCTAATTTGTACATACCTAGTTTCATTCTTGTTATACTGAACACTGGTGAACATATAAGCGAGTTGCAGCTCAGTATCCGTATACCTAAATTCAGATTTTTAATTTATTTCACTGATTACGTGGTATTAAACAACATAATGTATTGAAAACTTCCGAGTATACAAAGTACATAGTAGGCGTTTAGCACATCAGCACCAACAGATTTCATGTAACCGGTAAAGCGCGCAAAGGGTGACTGGCCTGCCCTTCTCTGTGAAAGGTAGCAGAGCTGCATGACACCTGCCCTTCCTTGTGTCTTTTTTGAAAGGGAGCACGGAGCTGCAGGACACAAATACCTACCGGTTGAAAAAGGCGATTTGGACCGTGCTGAAAGATCGTCACAGAAGACGGTTTGCAGGGAAGAATGGGTCTGATTCTTACCGCTTGCCAGTTTTATTGCTTTTGCACCGTTACGCGAGGCTGCGATGTAGCGATTTGAGAGTCACCACAATGCAGTTACTCTATTTTGAGCCTATTCACAGCAGAAATCACAGCTGGGACAATGGTCTCCCTCACTTTCTTTTCCCCAAATAATGAAGTCGTTCCACTTCCCATTACACGTTTTGGTTATGTGTTATTGGCTGCACCGAACCAGTCTCTGTTGCACATTGACCAGATAATAACTGGATTGCGGCGGCTCTCAAATCGCTACAAATCAGGGACAGTTTGCATTGCAGAGGCAATAAAAATGGCAAGCGGTCTGAGTCAGACCCCGTCTGGCCTGCAGACCGTCCTCTGCTCTGCAGCCCGGTCCAAATCGCCTTTTTGAACATGTAGGTCCTGGTCGTCTGCTGCGCTCCCTGCTCCCTATCAAAAGACACAGGAGAGGGCAAAGTCGCTCGGACTGGTCAAAACGCATATGGTCTGAGTGTAGAGCGTAAGTGTATGACTGAATGTGAGTGGAAGAGCAGTCCACATGTACCCCGTTTCCCTATTGTTATTGTATGCGATGGCGCACGTTTTGTTTCGCAAGTCTTTTTCAAGCCGCAGACCAACGACGTCTTTCTGTGCCAGACGGCAGCGGCATTTGGAATGCAAACGTTGGCTGCTCTGCAGCGATTGAGAGCCGCCGCAATCCAGTTAATAACTGCTCTCAAATTGCTACAAATCAGCGATAATTTGCATTGCAGAGGCAATAAAAATGGCAAGCGGTATGAGTCAGACCCCGTCTGGCCTGCAGATCGTCCTCTGCAACGCTCTGCAGCCCTGTCCAAATCGCGATTTTGAAGAGGTAGGTCCTAGTCGTCTGCTGCGCTCCCTGCTTCCTGTCAAAATACACAGGAGAGGGCAAAGTCGCTCGGACTGGTCAAAACGCATATAGTCTGAGTGTATGGCGTCAGTGTTATGTGAATGCGAGTGGAAGAGCATTCCACATGTACTTGTACTCCCACGTTTTGTTTCGCAAATCTTTTTCAAGCAGCAGACCAACGACGTCTTTCTGTGCCAGACGGCAGCGGCATTTGGAATGCAAACCTTGGCTGCTCTGCAGCGATTTAGAGCCGCCACAATCGAGTTAATATACAAACTAAATATCACAAAGGAAGATGATCAAGTAAAGTAAAGGCAGACCGATCAAAGCCATTAGTATAGACCAAGCCAAGAAACGGCCATCTAAGTAGGTCACGTAGCCCCGCCAGCTCCGCTGATTAAAATGGAACGCAGACCAGCGTCCTTTGGTAGTCGACCAGAGCGCAGCGGAGGCCCTCTAATTCAGACAAAATTAAAATGGTGCTGTTCGTCTGTCCATTACAGAAGTAAGAAATGACGTCATACAAGGAAGTCAAGAAATTTATGCCATACAAGGAAGCCGGAAATGACGTCACATAAAGAAATAGAAATGACTTCCATAGAAAGGCCAATCAGAGGTTCAAAGGAGCACCAGCCGTTGTCAGGTCACAGTAAAATTTGAGGTTTGCAGCAAACATTTTTTTAATTGCCCTGCTAATTGCCCTTTTGAAAGGTTTAACACGGGTCTGGCACTGGAGACATTGTTGCCCGAAAATACTAACTTGAGGCAAACATCGCTGGTGCTTGTTTAGCTCTACTTTGATGGTATGACGTTGGCGAAGCCCTTTGTTTATGTTAGTTGATCTCGCAAACCGTTTCAGTCAGTGAAACATCAAGCAGATATTTTCAAGCAACCTAGATTTTTCTGGGTCAAACCAAAACAGGACATGCGATGTTTGTCTTACGTTTGTTATTTTTCGGCAATACTATCTCCAGTGCCAGACTGTCAGGGCGGGACGCTCCTCCCTCCTGAGTAGCTATTCGCTGTTTCTGGGGATTTCCACCCCGCATATTTCTGCGCTGTTTTGACGGATCTGCAGCACAGTTGCACTGGCTGCAGAATCCTTTCTTGTTAGTCTGGTGTTTGCTGCGCCACGGTGCGCATTAGATTCGGCATTAAAGCCTCATCCGGGTTCACCGCTGTTACGGCGTCGATGGTATGAGAGCGCCCATGGCCTCTCGTTATAAGACTCACGCCAATATTTTTAGAAGGGCAGAGAGCGGGGCCAATGAAAAAGTGTTTGCAGCAGATCACGAATTTTAAGGTGGCTTGACAACGGCTGGTGCTCCTTTTTGGCTTTGATGTGACCTTTCTGGGGAAATCATTTTTACTTCGTTATATGATGTAATTACCGTTTACAAAATCTAGGTTTACTTGCTCCTCTGGGCGTTTACAATTACTTCCTTGTATGACGTCATTTCTTACTTCCGTAACGGACAGACAGACAGCACCATTTTAATTTTGTCTGAATTAGAGGACCTTCGCTGCGCTCCGGTCGATAATTCAGACCACCTTATTTAAATTATCATATTCCGGCGCCACGGCCGGCCGGCCTGGAGCATCAGACAAGACTTGGTTTCATAATTCCTCAAAATAAAATTTGGTTATTCGAGGTCAACTAAAAAAATTCCGATTTTTTCAATTTTTCTTAACTTCTGGTTATGCTTTCTTAGGTTTCTTAGGGTTTTTAGGGATCTTAGGTTTCTTGTTTCCTTAGGTTTCTTGGGCTTCTCCGGTCAGCAAAATGTTGTGAGCAAGTTATCGGTGTCACTTATTAAGTGACACCAGATAACTACTGCAACTGCACAACTTTATAACACCGTGGTAGTAAAAGTTGCAATGCCACAGCTCGGTGGGACGAATTCGCCCAAGTCTGTCTCTACTCGCAGTACCAGCGCTGAAGTCCACCCCGAATTCTCTCGATGGCCTGTCCGCCTCCTCCTCTTTTCTATGCAGGCGCTGTTGTTGCTAAACGACTACAGTAGCAACATCCATCCGCGGTATTCATAACGCAAGTGGTGCAAATGAAGAATATTGCAGCGAGTTGAATAAGACCCAGCAATGTAAGCGAAAATCTTATGCTGGTTTTTGTATTAGAGGTACAGAGTATTCTCCGACTTGAGAATTCAGATTTCGCCAGTGTGAAAGCGTATAACATTTTATCACCAATAAGCGCAAAAGCGAAGGAACTGCTACCAGATTTGGGAGTGTGTTTGTTCCGCCATGCAGAGATAAGCGCACCTGCGACGTTGGCTCGCATTGAAATATTCAAAGACGGTGCTGATAAAATTCAACGAACTGAAAATTGGCCCTCCAACGTTTTCGTGCGAGAATGGGTGTACTTATTTGTCTTTTTGGTCGTTTGGGATCTCTTGTTTTTGTTTTCATGCTGTACAAACACTGGTTACTGTCCTTATGACTTTTTGTGGCTGCGACAGCTCGAAGAAGTTCTGAAAGGGGCTGTCCTTTTTTGTGGCAGCTGATCTTGTGCGTTTGTCTACAACTTCGTGCAGGTTTCTAACCTCATTGTGTACACGTTAAGCTGATCAAACAAACAAACAACAAATAATTTAACGAAAGTATTTGTATCTATTTGTCAACTGTTGCCAGTCTGAAGCTAGCCTAATGTGAGTGCTATCCTGCGAGCGCTGGTATAGGCCAACGTGTTACGTACGATACAATCGTGATTGATGAACGAACTGATTTTGATTTTTTAGCTATAAGGGATTACATTCATGTAGTCGATTTGGCGAAGGGGCACGTTGCCGCTGTGAATCAACTCATGGGTAACTGCGGTTTCAAGGTACGATCAACCGTTTAAATTGATTTTTTTACCCTCAGTATACAGGGGTACCGGGACAAGTTCGGGCAGTTACGTAAAATTTATTTTAGAAAATCATCGTGTGCAGTTCTGTTTTCTAGTACAACTTTTAATTGTGAACCTAGGAGAGTCAAAGTTTAAATGTTTTGCTGTTGCAGGAAGGGGCGGGGCGAGAGATTAAGGAAATGAGTTGTGCTATTTTTTCTTATGTTTCTAACTGAACTTACAGTTATGTACCAACCTACATTTCTACATTTCTGGGTTGGCGTTTCGGAAACCTGTTGACTGACTCAGAAGCTCCATGTCAGGGGTAAGTCAGAAGGAGCTTACGCCATCAGTGCCCGATCCGATCCATTAGACGCAACTCAGATAGACTTGTATGCATGTTA